TGCCAGATACCAAATGACTCTTTAGATTCTCTGGCCATTAACATTTTATTTCACAGCTTCAAAACTTATGGTATGCATTGCCTGTGTGGTACTTAACTTACAACCAGGTGGTAAATGACAAGTGCGTCCCTTCTAAACTAATGCAAGTCATGTTTGAGGACACAGCATTAGCATTTAATGTTCATTTCTTCCTGCCTATTTCACTGGAGCTTGTAGCTTTGATTGTGACTGTCCAGATTTTATAAGCCTGGAGAGCTGTTCTACTGGTGATAGTTGTACTAAAGATACATCCAAGCTATACTTGCCATTTTTATATCCTATGTAATCACTGCTGCAATAATAAAAAAGTACTCAAGTCTATAAAGTGTGGAGAGAGTGAGAGAATGAATGATTAGACTCTATTTTGCATAAAAAAATGTCAATATTTGGACTTTTAACTTCAAAGTTTTAGTAACGTGCATTACAGGCCAAATGTAACTTTGTGACAGCAAAAAATTACATGTTGATAATGACTTATGATGCCTTCAGTACCAAAATCCATTAAAATCATGATTTATGAACATCACATGCCTTCTGTCCAGTTTCATAAGGCATGTATACAGAAATAAAACAGAGGAGACAAACTGTAGAAAGGTTTCCCCAAAGATACTTTAAAAGGAAACATCTCATGTTACTTCCACCAGTCATTTGTAAGCAAGCTTGAGAAGTCTTATTTGATGTAACACTGCACAAACAGAACCCACAGATATGAGAAGATGGCATACAATATTAAATTGTACCTAAACACAAAACCCTATCATGTTTTTATTGCTAACTGTGTCCTCAAAATGAAAACAAGGGTAAATCCAAAAATTTGGGTGCAACCAGAACAGGAATAGAAGACAAACAATCCACTGGCGACAGCTGTCTAAACAAGGATTTCCCTATATTGAAAAAACTGTGCGCTCCCTTGATGGTATGCTTAACCCTTTCCTACTTTATTAAAATTAACAAAATATTTGGTTTTAGATATACTTTGAAATAAACAAATGAAAATCTGACCAGACTGGGCCCTTTGTTTCCAGCTCTCAAAGTACAGGAGAAGGAAACAGAAGGTTATATTTGCAAGCTTGATAATTTGCCTCTATGTAGAAACTAATGTGTAGATTGGTGGAAAAGTAATGTGTAGTTTGTATTCGCCTACATCTGCAAAAGTGTATATTAAGAATAGTTACATTTCTATGCAGGATTTGCAACTCTAAATGACAGCTTCTTTGACCTTGAAATGCTTTACAAATGTCCTCCATGTGCTTTCTACCTAATTTAAGCATGTCTATACACAATTTCACAGCCCCAGAAAGCCACAATGAAACACAGCTTGGCTGACTCAAAATTGGTGCTAACTTCCAATTTTTAACATGCAGAAGATTGTCACAAAACATTTTAGAAAGAATGAATACATAACTGAAAAATGCTTTGAACTCTACTAAGCAAGTGTAAAGCCAAACAAAATCTAAAGATCTATTTGCACCAAATAGTGCAAGTCAGTAATCCAATTCAACAATCAAGATGCCTCCAACTCCTTGGTATCTTCACACATTGGCTAACTTCCCCTGACTGGGGCCTAACCTCCCCCTTCTGATTCCTAATCCTTTCATTTGGCTAATAAGTGGGATAAGTGACCTTACAAGCAGTTAGACCTATGGGGTGATAGGGGTCACCCTATAAGTGCTGTAATGTTTTCTGAAATACCTCAGTGAGAAAATATACTACTGGATGGAGCTGATGATACAGCAGTTAATCTATTTGCAAACATATGATGAACATTAGTTCACTTTGCACAAATGCTTCTGATATTCATGCTACAAATGTTTTAGAAAAAAATTAATTGAGAAAATTTTTTTTTCGAGTGAGTAGATCTTACTATTTTGGTAAATTGAGTTTAAATTTGAAGGTTACACTGTCTGGATTTTACTTATTTATATTTATCAAATTTACTGTCCACCTTGTTTCATACAGGAGGTGTAAACCAAGAGAATAAATGTAATTGTAAGTATAAAAAATTGGCTTCCTACACCTTAAAAGATAATTATAATACTGCTACATGTATCCAAATCTGGATTTTAAAAAAAAGATAGAATATCCTATATTTTCCATGCAATAACTAAAACGTTTAAATAGATAGTTCCTAAATAAAGTGATTTCCACTGCTTTAGTGCAATTTTTGTAGTACCGTACTTTTGGAAAATGAAACAGTGCTTTTTTTTAGTACATGACAACAATCAGTATAAAACAGATCTTTAATTAGAGCATGCAGACAGAATAGGCAATTACACCGGATTTTAATGTCATAGACGTTTCTCTGAAAATAAATTCTTAACTTCCTTTCAAAGAATAACAAGTCCTTGTGTAATGAGAATAATAGAATGAAAAGGATTTATCCAGTGAGTCAAAGGGCCAAGTTGCTCACATGTTAAACCGCATCTCCCTGCACGGATGTTTGGTAAATAAATATGCACAGATTAAATGTGGGGATGAGAGAAGAAATTGTAATTATACACAAAAGACTTGCTGTCCGGCGCCCACTGAGCACTGCCTGCATTGTGCCTGCTTCACTTTGTAGTGTTGCTGATACCAATAACAAGACGTCATTCGGTGTATTGTAAATTACCTCCAGGGACATAGTTTATAGCTCTAGGGCTGAGCAGAGCCCAGATGTTGGCACCTGGCTTTAACTTGATAAATGCACATGCTTGTATTACCTATAAAACAAATAGCTTGGAAACATTAAACAAAATTGCTTTGCCTGTTTTTGGAGTGTCAGCTTTAGTCTATCAATCTATATCTCCTTAGTACATTCTATTAAGCATATTTGAAATTTTGCTGATAACATTCCTCAAGGGGAAAGCTAATGTTTGTATAGGAACAAAACAAAGCAGCATTGCTCTTTTTCCTGTGTAATTTCATACATCATCTCTTTGGGACATTTTTATCTTGTCACACATAGTGAATTGTGTTTGAATAGTGTATAAGCAACCTAAGGTTTTTCTCAGTGTGGTTGACAGTGCAGATCTCAGCTCCTCTCACAATGGGTTGCATATAATTACATAGCTCCCTATTTCCTCTTTCCATGTGGCTTCTTAGATATTTGAGTATAAAAGATGCTATTAAAGTTTCATCAGGGTGAAAATTTAAGGGATTATGTATATGTCTTCTCTATTCAAGGAATACCAAGCTAGCACTAGTTCTGTTGGGAGGAAAAAGGGCTATTTCAGTATTACAGATGGTAGCTATTGTACAATATGTTAAAACGTGAATAGGATATTTATAGAGCCAAGTACATCAGACAATTGTAAATAAATAACAGTTGACAATATTCAGTAAAACTACAAGAAATAATAAATAGCCAGTTCTCCTAAAAGTTATATTTTACTTATAGATGGAACCCAACACTGAAAGGTAGCTGTTGAAATTCTCAACTCTGTTTATGCTCAACTAGGGGTTTTGGATACTCTACCACCTCCTGTTTCAGTCTCAATAACATACAAACAAAAAATTACCAATAGGAAGAAACCCTCATAATAAACAAAGCATGTGTCCAGACCTGAAACTCAATTTCTGATATCTCACCACTTCAATCTGTAGAAATATAAGACATTTAAAAGTGGTTTATTCATCCAGCATTTTCCAAAAACAGAAACATCAATTTTGCTCTAACTTTGTTCAGATGGCTCCTGGTAGATCAATAACATCATTACAGGCACAACATGACTGTGTCATCACATTGTTTCAATGTTATCTGAGTGAAGCTATTTGACTAAATCTAGAGATGAAGTATACTTCTAGATCTAATGGCTATGACAGCATTCAACAGCATAAGTTCAATTGTACTAGGAATAAGCTTCAGGCTTTGGGTTCACCATGACTTTGACCCAACTCCAGGCTGTTCTCAGTTTGCTGAATGGGAAAACTAAATGGTTAGTTCACCCACCTGCCTGATTCAGAAATTAAGCTGCTATATCACTACTAAATGAAAGCTTTCTGCTGGTCACTGGCTTATTTAAAATTTTAAACAAGCAAGCAGGCATCATGAGTGACATCACTAAGCACATATGGTCGTGACAATTTTTGGTCAATTACATCAGCCAGCATCCCCAGCTTTGTTGTCATTCAGTAGCTAGTCAGGAAGTTGTCATTTCTGATGACAGTAATTTCATTGTCATGGTGTTGTCCGCTGTGTCTGAGTCATTCGGATGTTGCTCTTCATGATTGATGATGGGTCAGCATTGAATGATGTGGTTGACTAGATGGCATGATTGATGTTGAATTTACAATGGAGGACAATGTTTGTTTCTTCAATACATTATTTTTTTTCAAAGGGCTTATGTTTGTTCATTTATTCTTTACATTTGTGAATAAGCAACAAGGAGAAATATGTATGCCTTGCTCAAAGTGCCTTGCTTTGCGGGGGGAGCTTGGCAAGGCTTAACCTCCCTAGCGGTCTGATTATGTCCATATTTCTGTGCTCAAAGAGGTACATTTTTTTGCATGGAAATATGTCATTTTTTTATTGTAGGCCTGTAATTTTTAGGAATAACTCACTCAAATCTGTCCTAACAAGAGTCTAGTAAACATTCCGTGTATGTTAAAATTTGAAACACAAAATCATAAATTATAATTTAATAAATAAGCATAAAAAAAATCATAATATATTAATAATACATTTAATTCAATAATATAATCAAACCAAAAACACTGAAATTTGAAATAGAGCACCACGTTCGCACATCACTGAGCAAAGTCGCAAAATCGTTTTCAGTGTCTGATGACGAATTTCCCCACGAATCATTATCACTCAATTCTGTAAGTGGTTCTAATTTACTATCGCTGTTCTCTAGCTGGTCTAAAACCACTTTTGACCTAAAGGGACGCTTTTTGGATGCCATGGACATTTCTCAGTTTCAAGGCAAAAAGAACAGTAAAAATGTAAGCAGGGCACCGAACAAAGCACTAAGGACAAAATGTATGTGAAATGTTTTGATACAGTAATATTTTACTATGTGATTTTAGTGAATTTAGTGAATGTCACTTTTAAAATTTTCACATTTCCCGCCAGTTCCGCCCCTGTACGTCCTGACGTCGCAGGGAACGGAACCCCGAAGACAGATGCCGGCATCGGCCAGAGGACATTGCCAGGGACACTGCAGGGGAAACATTGCGGGAGTGCAGGACAAGGTAAGTGCAGAAGGAATCCCGGAGCAATGCTGCAGGGTATTCCTGAGTGTAGCTCGGGGTTACCGCTTGTGGTGCTGAAACTTTACCCCGAGCTACACTCGGGAATACCTCCAGGGAGGTTAATGTTCAAGAAAGGAAGGGATGTGGACTTCTTGCTTCCCCCTTTTCCTGGCCAGCTATACTGCATGGTATTAATTTTGGAAGTGACTTTATAGCCTCAACATTGGGAGGACCCTCCTGGCAAGACACTTGTCCCCATGTTAAGTTGGACAAGGACCTTATTCCCACATCCCTAGCCCAGTGGAGGTAGGGTTTTATGGGGAGGCGTACTGCAATATGGAAGCTGTCAGCACCTGTGGTAGTGAGCTCTTATTGATCCTCAACTTGGGGTTCCCCAGGACGCAGAGTCTAAGACCCAGTCTGCTTGTTCACCAGAGCCCCTGATGGTGGGGATGGACTTTTAGCAAGCTGGGACCAGGCCGCGGCCCCCAGGTATGCCCAGCTGAGGTTGAGGAGACCGCTCATGGGAGCAGAGTATAAAGGGAGGAGACAAACGGAATCGGATAGGCAAGCCGAGGTCAGGACAGGCGGAAAACAAGCAAGGTCAGAGAACGAAGCTGGGGTCAGTACACGAGTAGACAATGTAGGATTCAGACAGTAGTAACAAACGGGAGCTCCAACAACTAGGAAGTTGCTCACGAAAAGTGGCCTAGTCTGAGCATGTTTTATATAGACAGGCAAACAAACTGCCGGGCCAGGAAGTGATGGAAGGGAAGGAAATAAAACCCAGAGGACAACAGACGAAGCCCATAGATGAGCACAGACAAACACATGAGAAGGGATCAGGAACAGAACTGCAGCAAGAAGGTAAGAACACAAACAAGAAACTGCAGGCTAACTTGTGACAGAAGCACCCTTTAAAATAAGGGGGCTTTCAGAGATCTGGCCCTCACCTACGTGAATGAGAGTACTGAGTACTCCTTGTTGCTCATTCACAAAAACATAAAAAGTAAAAAAACACAAAAAGGTAATTTGATTAAAAAAAACTAAATATATTTAGTCCCTTAATATAAATCCAAAGTCAAATCACTTTGTCCAGTAATGTATATCCATAGTCACTCACACTGTTTGGTGATCAATAACCCATGGACATGACAGCTCATGCCAGGATGGTCCTCCCTGGCTATTACACCCATTACTAATGACAACCCCCATCTGGTTGTTGATTGTCAGAAAACCACCCAGGGATGCTGACTGACCACCTTGACCATCTGATCATGACCATATATTGTCAATTACATCACCGGGATTTCCACACTGCATTGCGAGGAATCTGAATTGTCATTGCATGTCACTTTTGTGGGAGTACATCTTATAGGTGAGCCATTTCATATTCAGGGTGAAGGAATTACACAAGTGTGCTATTTAATGGAATTGTGTATTTTTAATGTTGCCCTTTAAGATGCATTCAAATACCTACTTCCTGGTAAACGGTAGTATTAACAATGGCAGTGCCCAGCCATTCTATACCCTTTTAAAAAAAACTAATTGCAAATTGCCCTTCAAAAGGTCAGAAAAAAAATTACAAGATTCTGCTCCTGTGGACTTCGGTGAGGATCAGGCACTTTTTTTGTTTTGGGATTCGTGGATTTTCTGTGTACATACTGCAATATTACTGGGAGGTGCTTATGGTGTTTGGTAGGTTTGATAAAACGTCTGACTTAAAGAGCAAAAATAATTAGCAATTCTGGGAAATAGGTTGATTCAGGTTTCCTTTTGTTTCATTCAGTGTTTGCTATTATGGTTAGCTGTGATTAGCCACATCTAATCACATGGTACAGATGGGCTAAGTTTGGCCCTGTCTGTACCATGTGATCACTGTGACTAATCACAGAGATCAGAACAATAGTACACAATGGATGGCATGAATGAGCCATCCATTGTGTACAATTGTCATAAGATCTGCTGTGATTGGTCACATGGTACTGGCAGTGACTGGTACACTGATCGGTCATCCACTGTGTCAGGTAGACACAGCGGGTGACAGATAATGCCACAGCATGAGCAGTTTTGGAAGGATGCCATGTGACATCCACCCGGAACAGTGAATGTTCCACACTGCCATCATTTGACTATAGGCAGGAACTGGTTAAAATCCATACCAGACTAAAGAGTCTGGTATAGAATGTGCATAGGGTTCACAATGAGTTCCATATCAGAATCTCCTCAAGAATAAAGATATGTTATGTATTTTTTGGTAACCCCCGCAATATTTTTTTATAGGGTCTCCCATTAGCATCTACTGTATACCAGAATCTTATCTATGATAAAGGTCTGGTATAAATGAAGAGAATTTCCAGCCACTTTGTTTACAAACAGAAGTATATGGTTGAAACTGTCAATTACTGACAATTTAACTAGCATTTTTTTATTTGCAAATGTCAGTTTTTCTGCAGTTGGTTGTATAAATTCCAAAATTGTATACATGAATACAGATGTGCCACTTTATTCTTTGCTTAAAAGAATCCTGCAGGCATGTTATTTAAAAGTATTTTTCTTTTTAAATTTTCAACTTTAAGTAATATTAAAATCGCTCTTCACTGCCAAATGGAGTTTTTAAACCTTTTTTGCTTTGGTACATGTTCTCCGAAAGTGTTGAGAAGTGATTTTTAAAATTAAGCTCTCATTGATTTCAAAGGGGTTCAGATTTGGCACCTGAAGTTCTATAACATTCTCTGAACCTGCTTGGAACAGAACCCAAGTATGTTCAAATACTACTGTTCAAACATTTTAATCAGGCTATCCATTTGGCAATGTGGTCTCTGCTGATGGCAGGGTTGGTGTTTAGATTGTCTAAAAGGTAAGTATTGTGGTATTTTTATTACTCTTTATATGTCTAACTGTGGGTTAGTTTTGACAGTTCTCATTTGTACAATAGCATAGCAGGTTGTTTATGAGTATGTGAAATTCATAATTATACCTTTGAAAGTTTGTGAGCTATTTAATATTTAAACTTTTGTGATACTGGCTGTGAACTTCGCAATGACACACTGTAGTTTATTTTTCTTATGCTCATGAGTGATGTAAATGATAAACATTGTAATTGGCTTACATAAATTGTTCTTGGCTTCATTGTTATGATAACTATATTATGTAGCAGATGTCCAACCAGGCATATACCGTACATCTGTTCAGATAAGTTAAGGTAGATCAAAGTTAGGTAAGAACTTGTAAATACCAAGCAACTGGTTAACAATGCTTATAGGAGGATACGATCAAAATTGTGCAATCTATAATCAAGTAAATCTTCACATTCCTGTGTCACAAGTTTCTGTTTGTGTTCAAGCATGAGGCAATAGACATGTTGCATGACACTGCACAGGTTCATGCATGACCGTTGTCTATAGTCTGAAAACTAACACTAGTGCTCCTAAGGTGAGAGCTAAACAACAATCAGATCTGACACAGCCACAAGCAAGAAGAGCAATTAACAGAGATTTCACCATTTGTGATTCAACACAGAAGTTTCCTGCCCTTTCAGCAAATAACAACAATCTTGGTGGATCAATACATGGACATAGGAGAATTGATCAGCCATGACTCTACAAGCTGCAGCCAAAACACGTGAGCCCATCATTGCAAGATAAAGCAAACCACTCAGGAAATATGTTAATGCCTAGTTAGAACAATACAAATGTATGTATATAATAATTGTGTTTAATACATTTAAGCTGCTGGAATAGTGTATCCTTATCACTCAAGAGCATATGTTTGTGCTGTTATTAGTTACATCCCCCTCCTCTCCCAATGTTCCAGCAGAAGTGTCAGTCCTTTTGAGGGGCTGACCTATTTTAGGGCTGATAACTAACACTCTATCTTGACTCCAAATAAGGGTGACACTGTGAATTTAACAAAGCCTTTCATTTTCTTCCCTATAAACCAAACTTGACCTTTATCATAAGGCAGGCAGTTTTATGAGTAGCCAATGCCAACATTAAGTTCAGGTAGAAGATAAAATAACCTTCACACACTCAACCTAATATTTCAGTTCTAATAGGAAAAAAATAAACAATTAAAGGTATAGCTGCACTACTATGGAGAATCATTTTGCTACCAGTGACCACTGTGGTGTGCTTGTGACTGGTTCCCTACTAAATGACTGTCTGTAGTCACATTCTGTAACAGTATGTATATATACTGTAATGATAGTGTGAGGCCATGCTACTATATGAAATTAAGAAATGGTTGAAAAAATAGGAGCAACTTGAGAAAGCTCCAGCATGTGTTTTTGTAGTCCAGGATCAGGGTCTGGTGTTCCAGAGTGTTTTGGGTGGGATGGCACCTTCAATACTGTCTCCAGAATTGCGAGACATCTGAAGCCTGTGGGAGTGCACAGGTCTGCATGGTTGTTATAAGCTAGATCTGAGAGTAGCTCAGGCAGAAAGAGTTGCAGTTGCTACTGTTTGAAAACAGAGCCCTGTCAGAAATGGATGCTCCTGATGGAAATTGCACCCTTGTGAGGGGGATTCATTGCCCAAGGACTGGAAGAGTTAGAACATCTATGCAAGTCTAACAGACCAAGAAAGTAATTGGGAGACTGAGAAAGCTGAGGTGGCTAGCAGGTTCAGGGGATCTGGAAGTCTCTAGATGGAACAGGCTTGAAGGGCTAAAGAACCCCATTCAGAGGCCAGGAGTGGGCCTGTGCCTTGAGGTGCTGCAACCTTAATTGAGTTTAAGAAGCCCATAGTTTGGGAGAGCAGTGGTGCTGTTAACAAGAGAGCCAGGTGGCTTGGTATTTTCTGTGATCTGTTTATTGGAGAAGACCCATGCATCAAAATCCATGTTTATGAACTTTGCTTTGTTTTTTTTGTTTAAATAAAAGTGGGCTGATGTGCCCTTAAAACATAGTTCAGCCTGGCATATACTTTATTAACCACTTGGTAATCATGCTATAGCTGAATGATGGCTACAGCGCTGTTACCCAGTTAAGGGAGGGCGTCATATAACGTCCTCCCAGAACGCGCCCTCCTGCACCCCCCCATGGGCGTGCACCCAGCAATCTCCATGATCATTGTGTCCTATAGACACAACTGATTATGTGATGCGGTAAAAGGCCAATCAC